GTTGTACTTAACTTACTTTATCTCGAATGGCAGCGCCATTCGATACATATATGGAGCGTGTTTTTTAATGTTCCAATCAGTTGCAAAATAAACCTCAAACACAGCTCAACTCAAATGTTTCAATACAGAACATTATGTGCTGCTTTTTGCTAGTAAAATTAGTGAAATCTTTGAAAAAAAAAAAAATGAACGTAAACATCGAAAAAACAATTCTTTGGAGCGATTCAAAAGTAGTGCTCGCTTGGATTGGTTCGAACCCGCAACGGTATAAAAAAATATGTCGCAACGAGAATAAAAAAAGTGAATAAATTAAAAGATGCACAATGGTGCCATATTCCGGGTGCAATTAATCCAGCAGACTGTGCGTCGCGTGGAATTTTTGGAGATGAACTAGCAAATCATTCGCTTTGGTGGCACGGACCACAGTGCTTACGTGAAAAAATTGATTATAACGTTTGGAAACAAAATTTTTGTTGCACCATAAAGAAAAAAATGAACAAAAAAAATACCAAACAACAATAATAGCGTCAAAATCGATTCGTTCATTAAATAGAAAATAAAACAATAAATAAAGTATATAACAACAACAAAAAATTGATTTTGCACCCTCCAAAAAAAAATTCTGAGTACGGCGCTGTTTTGAAAGGAAATTGAAGAAACTAGAAGATTGGTTTGTTGGCTTCGATAGGCCACACAACGAACTAGTGCAAGTACGTGACGAATCGGTTGCAGCAAAACAAAATGCAGCGGGTGGAAATGCAGTAGATGAATATGAAGACGACATGTATTTCACCGACAGCCATTATGAGAAGGCATTAACTAAATACAACGAAGTGTATGCCGACGTACAAAAGGATTTAGACTCACTGAAGAAGAAATTATCAACGAAAAAAAAACCCTCGGCATCGGCATCGGCAACGGCTATGGCTAATGAAACTCCAACAGTAGCAGTGCTGATATATCAAAAAAATGAAGTGTTGGATATGTTCAAAATGCTACAAAAAAAAACGCAGCAACGTCGCAAGGCGTGGTAAATGCTCAGTTAGAGCAGCTAAAAATCGTTTGGGCTAAATTTCGAGCCACGTTCAGAACAGTGAAAGTATCACCGGAAAATCATTGGTGGGCCGGAATTCATTTCGTCACTATGCAATCGCAATATTTGACTTTATCAAAGACCAGGCGAAGCAAAAGTCAAACGTCGAATTGCCGAAGATTAAATTACCCGATTTTGACGGCGATAAAGATGATTGGCGAGAGTTTAAAGATCTTTTTGGGAAAATTGTACACGAAAACAATTCCATTTCTGAAGCACTCAAAGTGCAGTATTTGAAATCATGCTTGAAAGGCAGTGCAACGAAAGCCATCATATATTTGACGCCAAAAGAGTCAAATTACCAGAATGTGTCTAGCTTGTTGAAACGACGATTTGGAAACAAGGGAGAAAATGTGGGTTGGCTGATCGACAAAATTCTTGATTTACCGAATCAAAATGCTGAAACAAGCAGTGGTTTACGAAATATCTACGACACAATGAACGAATGCATCGTTGCAATTCAAAATTTTGATGTAAACACGGACAATTGGGATCCATTGGTGATTCATATTTTGAAAAAGAAACTAAGTAAAACGACGGTGATTGACTACGAATCTAAATTGGTTGATGTACGCGAATTGACACCATTATCCGAGTTTTTGAATTACGTTGAACATCGTTTTATGGCTTTCGTCTCGACTGAAGGCAGCAACCAAAAGAGTTACGAAAAATTTGAAAAAAATGAAAAGGAAAATAAAAGAAGCGACGATTCACCATTCAAGTGTACATTTTGCGATAAGCCTCATTCTGTTTACAGATGTTTGGAATTTAAAAACAAATCAGTAAAAGAAAGAAGTGAATGGGTAAAGACAGAAAAGGTGTGTGTTATTTGCATTCAAAAGCATGACGGTGAATGCAAAACGAAATTTAATACGTGCAAAACATGCGTCAAGAAACATAACACCTTGTTGCATTTCGAAACGAAAAAAGAAGCAATCGAAAAAAAAAACTACTCTGCTAACAACGACCATTATTAATAAACCAACGACCAGCAAAAGTGATGAATCGTCACAAGTTCAAGTGTTAACGGCCACGAAAAAAGCAAACAATTTGTTAGCAACGGCATTCGTAAATGTATTGTCTAAAAACGGCGAAAAAGTGTTGTTAAAATCGGTCATCGATGGCTGTTGCACACACGCAACAATAATAAAACAAAAAATATATAAAACAAAAGGAAAAAGAACTTTGATCAGTTTTCTTTAGGAATCATTCGTACTCATTTGAACTTAAATATAATAACACAAGTAAAATATATATGATGACCCAATCAGTACAGTGACTTCAATTTTGTACTTTCAATTTGTAAACTCAAAACATAAAACGTTGAATTTTATTTAGTAAGCAATCCCGATTTGTTTGTTCTTTCTTGATCTTTTTATATGTAAGCATTTTTTTACCAATTCATTTCAATAATCAACAGCTATGCACTTTTTGTCTTTCTTGTAATAATTATGAACAACTGCGCAGATATTAAGTTGGGAAATAAAATTCATTACTTATTTGATACTGAAGCAAACCAGTGCATTTTGATTTATTCAGATAAGTGGTCAAACATTATGGTCCTTCGAACAGAAACACAGTGAACTAGTGAAACAGCCATTGAATTTCAATAATTATAATAATCAGTTAGTTCAAGTGATTGAAAATTTTCATCGAAATTTCAAAAAGTATCAATGAAAAGTGAAACGTCGCAGACATTTTCGCAGACATTTTTCAAAAAACAATTAGTGGTAAAGTGGTATTACGAATCAAAGTAAAGTAAACTATTAACGCAATTGAAATTTTCAATATATTTCAAAATAAACATTCATCGGCTTTGACTGAATAATATATTCATCGAATCTCTCAACCAAACTATAGTTCATACTTGCTGTGAAAATTTCGAGTCAATTAAACGAGTTAGTGCAGTGTTCAATATGTCAGCGACTGTGGAAGAGTAGCTGAAGCTTCAAAAAATAGTAATCACGGAGCTGCAAAACAAGATCAGTACGTTTAAATCAAACGGAAAAGAAAAAAAAAACGGTTCCGTACTTCGAAAGGCGTCTAGTCCGAATCGACGATTGGTACGCAGCTTTTAAAAATCGAAATGAGCAACTGGAAAAATTAAAGTCCGTTGAGACAAATCAACAACCGTATTTCGCGAATAATACGTTCAGTATAGCAGAAAATTCGTACACGATGCATAAAAAAGAGCTGCGTGAAGGGCTGACAGCGTTAACAGGTGACAACTATGATGATTTGAACGAAAGCGTTGCTGGTAGTACATCAGCTACAACGACAGAGGAAGATCAGCAAAACGGCATTATTGTCAATTCAAATGACTCTAATGAAAAAGAAACTGGGTCCACAGTAATTATTATTCGTGTGCTTCACGACGACGTTATTGGCATACTCGCGTCCATAAATGAAATGAATGGATCCGAATCATCTGGCTTGGCAACTGCCAATTTGGATCTATTGAAAGAGGCATGGACGATGTTTATGGCAAAATACTACGAAGCACGAGCAAGTGGAGCAACAATCGCGTTCAACATGAAAACGCTGCAAGTTGACTACGCACAGGCGATTGGAAAGTTAAATGATATGATCAAGAAAGGTGATTCGAAGTCATCAAACGGTTCATATAAATACATTAAAACATAAAATACTTACTTGCTCGCATAACACATTGCGTATATAATGCACGGTTGCTTGCTGCATTAACCAAAAAATCATATTGATGGCGTTCTTGGCGCTGATAAACAATTAGAGGGTCAACATTTGGTAGTTGACTTATTTCACGCAAAATAAACTCAATTGCATCAAATGCACCATGTGCATGATTCCTTTGAATCCGTAAAAATTGTTGTCTATTCATTTCTGAAATTTGTGGATTCATTTTCGTTCACAATAGTTTTAGTTCACTTCAAGTTACAGTTGAAATTAAAACGAGTCACTGTCACAAAAAAAAAATTCGTCGCCACGATACTTATACAGCACACTTTTACTCATGTAAATATTTTCAACTACTAACGGATTAAAGTCGAAATGAAAATCTTTTGTGTGAATATGTCTGTTGTCGCTGCTAGAACATTACAATTTGTTTTCAGTGGACTGTTCAAATGAATATTATTTTTGGTTCGATTTGATAAAAGAATATACACAATCACATTAAAATCACGTTAGCATCGTTTCTCTATATGTTGTTTTCGTCGCATATCCATGTTTTGTTTATAACACTTTTCGTCCACTGTAAGTTGCAGTGTAAATCAAAATGCCACTTTATGTAAATATTTTTGTCACCACGGTCAAATACCAAAATTTGTAAACGATGCACTTTTTCGTGAAAATATTTTTCGTCGCCGCGATTCTTTATAAACGCACTTTTTCGTATGTAAATATTTTTTTCAATCCGAATTCAATTATGCGATTGAAATAGTGTTCTTGATTCAACCAGAAATCAGTCGATTCTGGACAGCCAAAACGATAGTATTTTGAAGTGAACACAAGATAAAAAGTGAAAAGAAATACGAACAAAAAAGGTGAAGCGTGAAAAAATGGCACGCGTAAAACAAACACCAATGAAAGCGGTGCAAACACGTGGAAAAGAAAAAGGACAACAACGCCGTCCACACCGCTATCGTCCAGGAGTGGTCGCGCTCCGCGAAATCCGCCGCTATCAACGCAGCACCGAACTGCTGATTCCAAAATTATCGTTCCAGCGCTTGGTGCGTGAAATTCTGCAAAAAGTACCAAAAGTACAACCCGACCATCGCGTACAAGTTGATGCAATGGGTGCATTACAAGTAAGTAATTTATGCATTTTTCACATTTTCATTTCAAACACATAAATTTATGTTCAAAAATAGAAAAGATACAAATGATCTTTATTAATTTGGTGGTGTTTTTTCTGTTTTGTCTTACAGGAAGGCACCGAAAGTTACATCATTGGACTTTTCGAGGATGCCAATTTGTGCGCCGTTCACACCAAACGCGCAACCATCATTCCGAAAGACATTCAGCTGGCACGTCGTCTCCGAGGCGATAAATAAATCACGTTAAAACATAAAAATATGTAAACAACATATTAAAAGAAAATCAATAAAAATTGATAGTTGCATTGCAACTGTTTTACGTGAAAACAATCAAATCATTTTAGTTTTTACAGTGCAATCAATGAGATTCATGAAAAAAGACTTGATCTTTGGATATTGCTGGCGCGGTGTATGTAAACAAACAATCATCACCAAATCACTTTTCAATACAAAAGCAATAAGAACTCTTTCATTTGAAACTGTCAGTCAAAAAAAAACTCCACCCATACACTGACATTTTGTGACTGTATGAGTAATTCATTTTGCTAACTTACAGTTTAAAATGAAAGAGAAGTTGATACCTTTTCATCCAAAAATGGATTGATCGTCGTAATTTGTTCATAGCAACCGCGCCGCACATAACCTCAAACGTGTCACTTACCTTAACGGTCGCTTTTCAAATCCAAGTTTTACGCTACATATGGTTTTATCTCTCTCACACACACATACATTCACAAGTTGAACAAAAGGCACACGTCGTCGTCGTCGTCGTCATCATCACTGCCCCCGCCCCGCCAACATCGCCGCTGCTGCTGCACATAACCTCAACCGCGCCGCGCGATCACCAATTTCCAAATTCAAATTCAATTTTCCCGCCCCGCCCCACCGAACCAAACCACGGTGTGTGGTTTGTCCGTGTATTTTTACGTAGGCCGCTCGCGCACACACACGCGCACACTTTCTCCCCAAAGCTTGCCGCTGGATGGCGCCACGGGTTACGCGCCGCGGGAGACGTGCTTTTAACCGCCAAAAGCTCAGCTTTCAAAATTCAAATTCAATTTTTCCCCGGCGTGCCCGCTAGATGGCGCTCACGTCGCACCCATACATACACAAGTATATAACACGTATAGTATAGGTAAAGGTCCCATTTGCCAGGCGCAGCGCCTGACTGCCCGGTAATTTCGAGCCAAAATCACAAATCAATGCCTGCCCGGCATTTTCAAAATCTTGCCAGGCATGCCCGGCAATTTCTGTCATTTCAATTTGAAAATTTAAATGTTGAATAAATCTTCCATAAAATATCTCAGTTCACACTTTTCATTGCTTTCAGTCGTTATTGTTGGTCAACGCGACAGAAGGAGAGCAATAAACACATTTCGCTATAAACAAAATGTGCAGTTGATTTCAAAACACAAATGAACCGGTGGGAATGAAAACAGCGTATAAAAATGTTATTTTATTTATGTTAAATTATTTAGAAAAAAAACGCTGTGTTTGGTTTTGTTCTCCAATCAATTCAATGCGCTGTTTTCATTCTCAGTGGATCAAATCTGCTGAGGGTGCACAAATTCGCGATATCCAAAATCAAGTGTGCTATGTGTTACGCGGACAACACAGTATTCAAATGCACACTTTTTGTGTATTTGTGTCTCATAATGTGAGACAGCGAACACTAAACTCTCATTGAAATATGATTATGTATTGATTTGTGACTCAGTTCATTTGATCGGCTTATTGTTAAATTGTCAGTCGAGCAATTGAGCGGTTGAAATCAATTGAGTTGTGTATGGTTTTTTGTTAATTTTTTTTTTATTTTGATACAAAATGGGGGATAAGTGCAAATTCAATCAATCTTGGATGGACAAATATCCATGGTTGAAAGCAGTTGGCGGTGATTCCACCAGCGCATTCTGCAAATTGTGCATGACTTCATTTAAAGTGGATAGTAAAGGTGAGAAAGAAGTAGCGTAAGTCGACACGCTGAAAGTGAATAACACAAATCTCTCGCAAGCAGTGCAACGAGCTCAAAACAAATGACAAATTTTTTCAAAGGTAAAATTTCGTTTCTTCACCAAAGTATGCACAGAAAATTCATTTAATTTTTTGTATACTTTAAGCTAAACCCGATGGAAATTCATTAGTGTTGGCTGTCAAAGAAGCAACTTTGGTTTATCACACAATCCCGTAATAATCATATGTTCATATTTACACACATGTATGCAAAGAAAAAACATAATAAAACCCACAATTCAAAGAAATTCTTTTGTTTGAAATTTTTTTGATTTTGCTCGGCATTTTGCCCGGCATTCATAAACAAAAAGTCAGGCATTTTTCACGTTTTTCGCCTGATAATCAGGCAATTCGCCAAAAACGCTCTGGGACCTATACTGTATAGGTGTTATATACTTGGGCACTAACACATATATGGGTTCACAATAACGTAGTACTAACTACTTCCGTGTGTCCGGAAACTTTTTTGACCCCCACAGATTCTGGTGCTGATATGCCTAAGCTGTAGCTGGTGTCGGGCCACATCGAAATCCGTCCTCAGATTGACATTTGCATTACAGGAGAGCTGGCTATGGCTTCACTAGCCTGCATGTATACGGTTTTTTGAAGTATTCATTTCGCACACTAGATCAACTCAGACACCCATCGGGCAAAGTCAGCTCGTAATTATTTGAGAAGACCTTCAAAAAGTTCCATACACACATGCCAATGTTTATGTGATATAAAAGAAAAAAGTCGATTTTTACGAAAAATCGACCCCATTAAATTTCACGCCAAAGGCGATTTCTCAAAAATGAGTCTGACAATTTTTACCATAAACTGAGCGTTTGTAGCCGCCCACCATACCAACAAAATGGCATATGCCATATATCCGGCAAAATTCGTATTTCGAAGTTCTGGGCATAGGCAATTCATCAATGAACGGAATTTGTACGAAGAGTCGCATTCTACGATGAAATTGCTGCCGAAAACACGCATTGACTGGCTGGAAAGGCTCACGACGGGCCATATCCGCTCAATTTTCGGTTACAATGCGATCTGAGGCAATTTCATGGTCGAAAAATTGGTCGGATTTAAGTGAATTTTTCAACTTGCTCTATTTTCACTGAAAATGATGTTTTTGTTCGGAAAACACGTGAAATACACCTCTGATGTCATTTTGGTCTTAGAAAACTGCTATTTTCTCGTAAAAATAATTGGAGTCTATCAACACCAAAATACCCACTTCGTTGTCGGTTTGATCATAAATCGGCATTTTTTGCATCTGAATGTTTGAAATTGAATTTTTGTTCGGGGGATACATAAAAATGCATTCGTTGTTGCTTTTTTTTGGAAATTAATATGTTTCAATGAAGTAATGGGGGTCTACAATTCAACACTCTTTTTATGGATACAGTGGAACCTCGGAAATTAGAAGGTGTTTGTACTTCGGGTACTTCTAATTTCTGAATTCTTCTAATTTCGGAGGCCAATTTTTTGCATTAATTTTGCAGTTAAATGAACAAAATGACACTACAGTAACACCAGAACGAAATTCCCAAATAAAAATATAACTTTGAAACATACTTTTAACAAGATTCCAATACTTTTGATACTCTGCCTTAATAATTCTTTTCAATAATATTCCAATTAAATTAGAAGAATTATCAGACAAAACAATTCATTTATTCCGAGATGAAAGATTATAAAAACTATGGAGATGTATTTTTTTCCATAAAAAAACGAATGTAAAGTAA